TCCCACATGGCTTGCATATGAAGCATATCAACTGCTTCATCTGGGGTGTTCCACTTGGCATTTTATAGGGAGAGTTGGGCAATCTCCTTCTCAGGATGAACACTAGGCTTGTTGTTCTCTCAGGAATCACCTCCTGTGTATTTCGATCACATACATTCACCAGCAATTGTTTAATCGTGAGCTGTGGGTCCTGCATCAACCCAAGCAAGCTCTTTCATTCTGTAGCATTTAAAATTAATGATTCTATCCTTAAAGTAGTTATTTTTACAATTTTTTGTATAGCAGGATGAGCCGCAGACAAGAACCCCTCAGACACCGAGTTGTAGAAGGAAAGGGCTTTATTCAGCTGGGTGCGTCGGCAGACTCACGTCTCCAAAAACCAAGCTCCCTGAGTGAGCAATTCCTGTCCCTTTTAAGGGCTTACAACTCTAGGGGGGTCCGCATGAGAGGGTCGTGATTGATTGAGCAAGCAGAGGGTACGTGACTGGGGGCTGCATGCACCAGTAATCAGAACAGAACAGAACAGTACAGGGAATTTCACAGTGCTTTTCTATACAATGTCTGGAATCGGTCAGGGGTTGATCTTTAGCTACCAGGGCCAGTGCTCAGTGCTGGGCTGTCTGCTTGTGGATTTCATTTCTGCCTTTTAGTTTTTACTTCTTCTTCATTTGGAGGCAGAAATTGGGCATAAGACAGTATGACGGGTGGTCTCCTCCCTTAATTGTAGTAAAGGTTTCTCAGGGAGATGATGATACCAATCTACAAAATGGAACAATTCCTTTACATAACACCCTGTGGCTTTTTGGTTTTTTTGTTTGGTTGGTTGGCTGTTTTTTTTTGCTTTGTTTTGATTTTGTTTTTTGAGACAGGATCTTGCCCTGCCACCCTTGCTGGAGTGCAGTGGCACAATTTCAGCTCACTGCAACCTCCACCTCCCAGGTGCAAGAGATTCTCACACCACAGCATCCAAAGTACTGGGATTATAGGCGCGTACCACCACTCCCAGCTAATTTTTGTGTTTTTAGTAGAGACAAGGGTTTCACCATTTTGGCCAGGCTAGTCTGGAACTCCTGACCTCAGGTGACCCACCCACCTCAGCCTCCCAAAGTGGTGCGATTACAGGCAGAAGCCACCATGACTGGCTACCCTCTTGTTTTAATGGTTACTTCATTTCGCCCTTCCTTCACATTGACTGTCTTCTTGGTAACCACAGGTCTCAGAGGCAACTTTGTTGCCTGAGCTTAATTTTTCTCTTTATCCATTTAGTTTTATCTGTATAATTTTTCCTTTACTCTAAAGCAATTCTTAGTCACTTAACTAAAAAAAAAAATTACTTTTTTTTTTTTTTTTGAGATGGAGTCTCACTCTGTCGCCCAGGCTGGAGTGCAGTAGTGGCACAATCTCGGCTCACCGCAACCTCCACCTCCTGGGTTCAAGCAATTCTCTTGCCTCAGCCTCCTGAGTAGCTGGGACTGTAGGTGCCCACCACCACGCCAGGCTAATTTTTGTATTTTTAGTAGAAAGGGAGTTTTAACATACTGACCAGGCTAGTCTTGAACTCCTGATCTTGTGATCCGCCCACCTCGGCCTCCCAAAGTGCTGGGATTACAGGCGTGAGCCACTGCACCCAGCAAAATTACATTTTCTTTAGCAAAAAAACACATCCTTGTGTCTTTTTGTTTTTTGTTCTTTTTTGGAGCAGAGGTTTAATAGGCAGAAGAGAAAAGAAAGAGAAATGGTCTCCAAGTGGAAAAGACCAGCAGGAGGCATATACTCCACATTTTACAGAGAGGATGAGAGACATGGTAGTTGTGGACAGGAAAGGAGGAAATTATGATAGGAAAAGTGGAGATCCTGTTACCGACACCCCATCAGGTGGTCAGAAGCTAGGGTCACTCCAGAAGCCTTTGGATAACACCGGGTGGTAGCTCCAGCCAGAAATCCTCAGTTGCTCCAAAACCTCTTCCAGCCCCATGCAACAGCTAAGTCCTCTCTGAAAGTAAGCTGGTTCAAACAGGACCAATATGCCCAGCAACCCATGGGTACAGGGGAATTCTCCATGTTCTCTCCAGAAAGCCTGTCCTCCAAGTCTTATGAGGCTGGCAGCCATGCTAATTTTTTCTAAATGGCTGAAGGTAGCCCAGTAGTTGGTTTGATTTGGTTCTTAAATGGAGACTGAGAGCCTTGAAATGAAAGGACAGAGTTGGAATCTGCTCCTCTGCTCACCGTTTCAATGAATGTTGTACCTTGGTATCCCAGATGAACCTCCAATATGAAGCTGCTATGTTGTCTGGAGTATAAACCCAGGGTTTTATCAGGGGAACCAGCCCCCAATATTTCAATATAGGTTCTTTTCTATTTTCCTTAAGGGTCGGCCGGTCTGAGAAATAGAGAGAAAGAGCACAAGAGAGAAATTTTACAATTGGGCCTCCAGGGGTACCATCACATATTGGTAGGACCATGATGGTTACCTTGAGCCATGAAACCAGCAAGTTTTTATTAGGGATTTTAGAAGGGGAGGGAGTGTACAAACAGAGAGTAAGTCACAAAGATCACATGCTTCAAAGGACAATTAAGATTGCAAGGCAAGGCAAAATTAGAATTACTGATGAGGTTCTATGTCCCGCTGTGGACACAGTGTCTTGATAAACATCTTAACAGAAAACAGTGTTCGAGAGCAGACTACTGGTCTGACTAGAATTTACCAGGCTGGAATTTCCCAATCCTAGTAAGCCTGAGGGCACTGTAGGAGACCAGGGTGTATTTCAGTCCTTATCTCAACTGCATAAGACAGACACTCCCAGAGAGGCTGTCTATAGACCTACCCCCAGGAAGGCATTCCTTCCCCAGGGCTATTCCTTACTGGAAAAAGAATTCAGTGATATTTCTCCTACATGCACATCCGTCTATGGGCTTTCTGCAAGAAGAAAAATATGACTCTATTCTGCCCAACCCTTCAGGCAGTCAGACCTTATGGTTATCTTTCCTTGTTCCCTGAAAATCGCTGTTATTCTGTTCCTTTTCAGGGTGCACTGATTTCATATTGTTCAAACACACGTTTTACAATTTGTACAGTTAACACAATCATAACAGGGTCCTGAGGTGACATACATCCTCAGTTTACAAAGATGACGAGATTAAGAGATTAAAGTAAAGACAGGCATAGGAAATTATAAGAGTATCAATTGGGGAAGTGATAAATCTCCATGAAATCTTCACAATTTATGTTCAGAGATTGCAGTAAAGACAGGCATAAGAAATTACAAAAGTATTAATTTTGGGAGCTGATTAATGTCCATGAAATCTTCACAATTTATGTTCTTCTGCCACAGCTTCAGCCAGTCCCTCCATTCGGTGTCCCTGACTTCCCTCCCGCAACAGAGTTTGTCATCTTGCACTAGGAAAACTTAGGACACAAATACACATGAGGAGTTTAGGAGTGGAGGTTTAATAGGCAGAAGAGAAGAGAAAGAGAAACAGCTTTCTCTATATAGAGAGAGGGGTCTCCAAGCAGAAAAGACCCCATCCTTTTGTTTCTATAAACATCACCAAAAACACCTCTGTCGCCAGGCTGGAGTGCAGTGACATGATCTTGGCTCACTACAACCTCCACTTCCCAGGTTCAAGCGATTCTCCTGCCTCAGCCTTCCGAGTAGCCAGGATTACAGGCGCATGCCACCAGGTCCAGCTAATTTCTGTATTTTTAGTAGAGACAGGATTTCGCCATGTTGGCCAGGCTGGTCTCGAACTCCTGACCTCAGGTGATCTGCCCACCTCAGCCTCCCAAAGTGCTGGGATTACAAGCGTGAGCCACTGCACCCAGCATTTTTAATGTAAATTCTTGGTAAACAACTCAGAAACTCCCTCTTCTTTCCCTTTAAAAACCCTCTTGTAACTGCTGCTAATTTATGGAGTATATATTCAGGCAACTCAAGTTGTAATGCTCCCAGGATGCAATCCTCAAGTTTGGCCCAGGTAAACTCTCTACTTACACTAATTCTGCCTCAGCTTCTTCCTTTTAGGTCAACACTGCTATATTAGTCCATTCTCAAGCTACTATGAAGAAATACCCAAGACTGGGTAATTTATAAAGGAAAGAGGTTTAGGCTGGGCACAGTGGCTCACATGTGTAATCTCAGCACTTTGGGAGGCTGATCACCTGAGGTCAGGAGTTCAAGACCAGCCTGACCAATATGGTGAAACCCCATCTCTACTAAAAATACAAAAATTAGCCAGTGTGATGGCAGGTGCCTGTAATCCCAGTTACTTGGGAGGCTGAGGCAGGAGAATCACTTGAACCTTGAAGGCAGAGGTTGCAGTGAGCCGAGATGGCACCACTGCACTCCAGCCTGGGTGACAGAGTGAGACTTCGTCTCAAAAAAAATAAATAAAATATAGGAAAGAGGTTTAACTGACTTATGGCTCCGCAGGGCTGGGGAGGCCTCAGGAAACAATCATGGCAGAAGGGGAAGCAAACACATCCTTCTTCATATGGTGGCAGGAAGGTGAAGTGCAGAGCAAAAGGGTGGGTGGGGAAAGCTCCTTATAAAACCATCAGATCTCATGAGAACTCATTCATTATCATGAGAACAGCATGGAGGTAACCGCCCCCATGATTCAATTACCTCCCACTGGGTCCCCCACAACACGTGAGGATTATGGGAACTACAATTCAAGATGAGATTTGGATGGGGACACAGCCAAACCATATCAATTACTTACCCTACCTTGCCCATTGCTTCCTATGGAAAACACAATAAACACTCTTGCCCACATTTTCCCCCTCCCTCCACGTTCTCACAGACCCTGGTGCTTCCCCAGGTGGCTCTGCATGGTGCACCACGCCTCCGTTTTCTAGAGATCTGTGAGGATAAGCTTCTTTCTTCATGACAGTCATTTCTGTGTCTTCCTATCCTACCATATCTGATTAAAACAAATCCTGGGTACCCTTAAAACAGGAACAATACCTTCAAAAAATTTGTTTATATACTCAATTTATTCTAATTTGAATTAGGTTGGTGTATGATGTCAAACTCCAAGCAAAAGAGCATTTCTTCTGGACTCCCAGAAATAGCTTCAACAACACATTTGTATTTTCCCTAAAATGAAGTATAAGAAATACAAGTAATACAAAATGTTAGATGCTACTATTTCAGAGGCTTTGTAAGAACTTTCTCTTACTAGCAGAAAGCCATTTAAATTGGATTGATTTTATTAGTTTTCCAATGAGACAAAATTTTCCATGTCTTTGAATTAGATGAGCATAAGCCCATTTATTTCCCAATTATAAAATTATGTTATTTTTAAAAACTAACCTAAGAAGTTTTGAAATATTAGATATTAGTTTATAACAAAATAATGAAAGAATATGCATTATTACATTTTATTTTAAAATGGTCACCAAAAGTAAAATGCATAAATTTTCATTACTAGATACATCATGCAAACATCTAAAATCACAATGGTATTATTCATCGAAGCAGCAATTATTTTTACAAAGGCATAGATGACCAGGCTAAGTTCCCAAGAAAATCTTGAACAAAATAAGTCTGTAATTTACATGATTTTTATTCTCCTAAACAATGTTCACATTATATCTAGTATATTACATGAATAGTTATAGAGATTTACTGGCTTATACACAGTGGTCATTCAGTGCTTTCATCTGAAGACTGTTCAACAGATTAGTAATGAGCTCTTGCATTCAAATTACTCTTGCCCATGTATGTTAAAGGGAAAAAATGAAGTGGAAAAAAATGCTATCTTTTGTGCAATTTTTCCATAGTCTACAGAAAGAAAAAATACCAAAAGACCTAATACTAAGGCTGTGCGCGGTGGCTCACACCTATAATCCCAGCACTTCCGGAGGCCAAGGCCAGGTCTCACTAACAACTGTTTCAGTACTGACCAAGTGGTTAAGTTAAATATTGAAAGCCAGTGCCCTTATACAAAGGATGGGATGTAAGAAAAGCCCATCAGGAGTTTTGGCCAGGCCTTTCCTGGGCCTTAAAGCATGACAAAATAACTGAGAAATTCTTAATAGGACCCATTTAGGATTAATCAAGTTTTATTGTGCCCCAGGTTTCCACAACCAAGTTTATTGGGGGTCTGAAGGAACTCCTCAAACCTCCATGATTTAGCAGGAGACAAGATAAAGGTAATCCCCCCAGCACCCAGACCCATTTAGATTAAGTAAAGTTACTGAGGCTCCAGACGAAGGTCTTCAGGACTCAGACCTTAGTCATAGATTAAAAGAAGTTAATCACTTGTGTCTTCAGATGAATGCACACTTACACATAGACATATTCCTTAGAATGAATATAAACTCTGAAAGATTTGTAATTTTGAGTTGGTCTGACAATAATTTCCAGACCTTCTCCCTGTAACCAGTTACAGAAATGAAAGCTCTCTTCCTCCCCAGTTCATCTGCATCTTGTTATTGGGCTGCAAGAAATGGCAGCCTGACCCTCAGTTTGGTCCAGGAACAGAGGTGGGTGGATCACATGAGGCCAGGAGTTTGAGACCAGCCTAGGCAACATGGTGAAACCCCATCTCTACTAAAAATTAAAAAATTAGCTGGGCATGGTGGCATGTGCCTGTAATCCCAGCTACTCGGGTGACTGAGGCACAAAATCACCTGAACTTGGGAGGCGGAAGTTGCAGTGAGCCCAGAACACACTTCACTCCAGCCTGGGCAACAGAGCAAGATTCAGTCAAAAAAAAAAAAAGCTAATTCTAAATAAAAGTGAAGGAAAAAACCTTAACATCTTAATCTTGAATTGCTATTCATGAAATTGTCAGCTGGGCATAGCTGCCCACACCTGTAATCCCAGCACTTTGGGAGGCTAAGCGGAGTGGATTGCTTGAGCTCAGGAGTTCAAGACCACCCTGGGAAACATGGTGAAACTGCATCTCTTCCAAAAATACAAAATGTTAGCTGGCATTGTGGCACGCACCTGTAGTCCCAGCTAGTCAGGAGGCAAAGGCATGAGGATTGCTTGGGGTGGGAGTTAGTAGGTGGAGGTTGCAGTGAGCAGAGATTGTGCCACTGCACTCCAGTCTGGGTGACAGACTGAGATCCCATTTCAAAAAAAAAGGAAGAAGTTGTGAATTGCTTGTTTCAAATGCTTAACATGTCTATTACTGCTAAAGGTTAGACAATACAAAATAAATATTGAACAATACCTTAGAAAATTTTATTCCCTTGAAGGAGAATGATACTGTTGTATTCACAGTCTCTGCAAACAAAATATAAAATACAAGACGTTATTGGTCACGGTTAGGTGAATTTTTCCTTGGTAGCATAGAGTACACCTTTATGGCATACACTTAACTACTGACAGAGGCAGTCCCAAGCAAAACTGTAGAAAAATAATGAACCTTTTTTACCCTGGCTACTATTCTCCTGTGGCTTCCTTTCCCTGCCCCTACAACCTCTCTGTACACCTGCCCCTATCTTATCCCTTAGGGGACACAGACTGTTAAGATCTGCTGGTCTCAATAATGAATAAACGATGAACAAGCTAGTGCTAATATGCGTCAGACCAAGTTACACATGTGTATTTTAAACTAGTTTTCAGAGACATTGATGCACATTAAGCTGAGTAGAATAGAGAATAATCTTTCCAAAGACACATGAGATATTTTGGAGGCAGCCAGAATACTGAAGCGCCTCCCAATTACACCACTGAGAAGCTCACGTTAGCTTCTGTTTAAGTGCATAGCCATGGGCCTGGCCCCACACAAGCTGTGGAGCACAGAGTCAAAAATGCAGGAAAATCCACACCCTACTGTTCTAGTCAGAACAAAGTAGTGAATGTGATGTGATGGGGTAAAGATGGAAATACATGTTTTGAATCTCAAACAAAAGAAACAGTGGCCAAAAATATTTTTAATATAAATAGTTAAATCGAAAACTATAATATTGTTCTCAGAAGTAAATAAATAATGTCTGCATGTATACTTCTAGTCTCACAAATAAGCATTTATTTATTTACTTCTGGGTGTATCCTTTTTTTGTTTTTGTTTGTTTGTTTGTTTTGAGATGGAGTCTCACTCTGTTGCCCAGGCTGGAGTACAATGGTGTGATCTCTGCTCGCTGCAACCTCTGCCTTACGGGTTCAAGAGATTCTCCTGCCTCAGCTTCCTGAGTAGCTGAGATTACAGGCACCTGCCACCACGCCCGATTAATTTTTGTATTTTTAGTAGACACGGGGTTTCACCATGCTGACCAGGCTGGTCTCAAACTCCCAACTTCAGGCTATCCGCCCACCTCAGCCTTCCAAAGTGCTGGGATTATAGGCATGAGCCACTGCACCCAACTGTTTTTTCTTTTCTTTTTGCTTTTTCTTTAAAGCAAATAAAGGGTGTATTATTATTATTATTATTTTTGTTTTGTTTTGAGACAGAATCTCGCTCTGTCGCCCAGGCTGGAGTGCAGTGGCACGATCTTGGCTCACTACAAGCTCCACCTTCCAGGTTCACGCCATTCTCCTGCCTCAGCCTCCCCAGTAGCTGAGATTACAGGCACCCACCACTACACCTGGCTAATTTTTGTATTTTTAGTAGAGACGGAGTTTCTCTGTGTTGGCCAGGCTGGTTTTGAACTCCTGACCTCAGGTGATCTGCCCACCTCGGCCTTCCAAAGTGCTGGGATTACAGACATGAGCCAACACACCTAGGCAGGTGTATACTTACTAAAGGAGTTGATACCTGAGGTGTTTCTTCTGCTCGGTAAAGTGATCATGTCTTCATAATCTTATGATCTTTCATTCAAGGCCAATCCAATTCAAAACTTAACAATTCAACAACTACTTATTGAAAGCCTACTACCCACCAGGGCCTGGGAAGACAATGGTAGTACAACTCTGTCCCTTCTCTCAAAGAGCTAAAGTCTATTGAAGATATAGATATTTAAGAAACCATTCCAGCTGTGAGCGGTGGCTCATGCCTGTAATCACAACACTTTGGGAGGCTGAAGAGGGTAGATCCCTTGAACTCAGAAGTTCAAGACCAGCCTGGGCAACATGGTTGATCCTTATCTGTACAAAATATAAAAAAGAAAGATGGGTATGGTGGCATGTGCCTGTAATCCCAGTTACTTGAGAGGCTGGGGTGGGAGGATCACTTGAGCCCAGTAGGTAGAGGCTACAGTGAGCTGTGTTTGTACCACTTCACTCCAGCCTGGGTGACAGGGAGACCTTGTCTCAAAATAAATAAATAAATAAATATTAAATTAAAATTAAAATTTTAAAAAAACAAAAAAAGACCCCCAAAATAATAAGAAGAAACCATTCCAAATACAATATGCAATGGGAAAGATGCAGTAAGGATAAATATAACATCTTCGTAAGAGTGATGGCCCTGGGGCCAGAACTGCTTGGGTTTGAATCTCAGCTCCTCTACTTGGTGTGTAACTTCGGACCAGTCACTTAATTTTTCTATGGCTCAGTAAAACAGTGATGGGTGATAACACGTATCTCATAGAATTATCACAAGGGCTATACCAGTTAATACATGTTAAGTGCTAAGAACAATGCCTGGGACACAGCACTTATTAAATATTATTACCACTAAATGTTACTTATAACATTTAATATTATTCTTTCTCGCTTCTAGACCCTCCTTCCAATGGCATCTTGTGAATAATAACATATTCATACCTTGTGAATATTAATGCATTAATATATTAGTTATATATGTATATATTATATAATAACAATAATAGGCTCTATCTTATTAACTTGCTAGTTTCTTTGAGAATATTTTTCACAAATTGAATCATATTTCATTTTTCTCCTTTTTTTTATTTTATTACTTCATTAGGATCTTGTTTTCTCCACTAGTCTGTAATTTCCATGAGGACAGGGGTTTTGCTTTGGACATTTTTGAATCTGGCTCCTAGTATCTAATTCTCAGTACCCAGCTTCAGGACCAACTATTAGGTTGGTGTAAAAGTAATTGCAGTTTTTGCCATGAAAAGTAATGCAATACATCATTACATAATTAAATCCGTAATTTGCAAGGCCCAGCACAAAATGACGATATGAGGCTGCTTATTCAAAAATAGGGGAAACCTGTTAAAGTTACTAGAACATAAAACTTTGCCCTTCTTCTATGTGTTTCTAGACTTGCCATAATGTTTTTATTGCAATTTAATATCATTTGTAATAAAGAGAACATTTTAAACTATTAGTATGAATTTCAGTATTCATCTTCTTATAATACAATGCCAGTTTTAAATGCAAATATCAAAGCATTTAACTTCAAGGTAGAATCACTGAAATTACACAATTTGTCTTTCCCTGCTTATCCCCAGGGGATGCCTCGAGCGGAGCCAGCCAGAGGAAACTAACACAAGCCAGAGGCAGGAAGTTTGAACGGAGAAAGAGAAGGTCCCCAAGGCATGGAACAGCCTGAGGGAACGCCCCCTCAGCAAGCAGCACAGGTGAGTGTAGAAACACCCAGGGGCTCCTCCACGACTGGGGGCTCCTGTGCAAGCTTCGGCCTGAGAGCTGCCTGTCAGGGTCCTCCTTCCACAAACTGCCAGATGCCACATGCGCCAGTGAGGGGCAGGAAGTCCAAGCAAGTACCTTTCTTTCCCACAGGCCTGCTATTCAACAGTGACTCTCAATGCACTGCAATCTCCATGCAATACCTCCACACACTACCTGTTTTGGGGTGGGACAGGGGATGGTGTGCCCAACTAGTCAGCTGCTGAACAGGGCCATGGTGCTGCCAGCCAAGGTAGGGCAGCCACTGTCATGCCCACGCAAGATACTGCAGGGCACCCACACCAGATCCTGACCCTCCCTGTAGCCAGGATTTCACCAGGAGCAGAGGTTAGCAGGTGGCACTGGACAGAAGAGGGGAGAGGATCCCAGGGTGCCAGCAGGGAAGTGGGCAGCGAGAACCAAGAACCAGTCCAGGGAAGGTGGGTTCATACCCCATCGTCTCATTAGATTTCACTTACACAAAACACACACTCGAAAATAAAATTATTAAGAATTTCAAGATTGTGATCACAGGGCATTAAACCCCAAGCGCAGGGCCCTTCTGTATATGGGGCCCTGGGCTCTGGTCATGAAGCCAACTCTGTCAACTTTGTGGAAGGGGTGGGGGAGGAAGATGGATGAGAATTGAGGATTTGAGAAAGAAATTAAGAACAACCCCTAGACCAGGTGTGGTGGCTCACGCCTATAATCCCAGCACTTTGGGAGGCCGAAGTGGGTGGATCATGAGGTCAGAAGTTTGAGACCAGTCTGGCCAACATGGTGAAATCCTATCTCTATTAAAGATACAAAAAATTTGTTGGGCATGGTGGCACACACCTGTAATCCCAGCTACTGGGGAGGCTGGGGCAGGAGAATCGCTTGAACCAGGGAGGCAGAGGTTGCAGTGAGCCGAGATTGTACCATTGCATTCCAGCCTAGGCAACAGGACGAGACTCTGTTTCAAAAAAAAAAAGAACAACCCCTAGTTTTCTATTTAGGGAGACTGTCTTAACACTTAGCAGGTCAGGTAGACAGACGGAGTTCTAACGTCCTCTGTTGGATAGACCTCTTTTTCAATTGTTTTGTCTGTCTTAGAAAGCTGTTTTTTTGTTTTTCTTTTTTTGAGACTGGAGTCTCACTGTGTAGCCCAGGCTGGAGTGCAGTGGTGGGATCTTGGCTCACTACAATGTCTGCCTTCATTCAAGTGATTCTCCTTCCTCAGCCTCCAGGGTAGCTGGGATTACAAACATGTGCTACCACACCCGTTTACTTTTGTATTTTTAGTAGAGACTGGGTTTCACCGTGTTGGCCAGGCTGGTCTGGAACTCCTGACCTCAGGTGATCCGCTCGCCTCGGCCTCCCAAAGTGCTGGGATTATAGGCGTGAGCCACTGCACCTGCCCAGAAAGCTCATATCTTGCTCATACCTTCCATTCTTTTCTTTTCTTTTTTATTATACTTTAAGTTCTGGGGTACATGTGCACAACATGCAGATTTGTTACATATGTATACATGTGCCATGTTGGTTTGCTGCACCAATTAATTCATCATTTACATTAGGTATTTCTCCTAATACTATCCCTCCCCCATCCCTCCCACCCCATGACAGGCCCCGGTGTGTGATGTTCCCCTTCCTGTGTCCAAGTGCTCTCATCGTTCAGTTCCCACCTATCAGTGAGAACATGCAGTGTTTGGTTTTCTGTCCTTGTAATACTTTGCTCAGAATGATGGTTTCTAGCATCATCC